GGAATATTAGTGACGAGCTTCCACAGGTCAACCTCAGGAGAATGGCGGCGCTTTTTAAAACTTTTTCAACACATTCATGTATGCCGATATTCACCTTCTCTGTTCCCACATTCTTTCTGGGTGGACATTACCATCCAGAAAGAATGTGGGAACAGAGAAGATGAATGTGACATACAAAACAATTTCCGTGAGATGTCATCATGATGCAGTTTACTCTTTTATACAATTAAATGCTTTATTACCGGCATTTAGTTTGACGAATACGCTAATATGATAGAAGTCTGAAAAAATGATTGCGCAAATCAATACTAAGAATAACCTCAGATCATATTTGATGAAATCAAGTGAGCTTGAGAGAATTCTAGATGGAATGATGTACAACGGCTTCGAATTGTCGTAATTCAGTGAGGTCTTTCATGGCAACATGGCCATTCCTATCGGATACCCATCGGCCATTCATTCCGGGTATCCTTGAAGTTGGCTTGCCCCATGTCATTCCACGGAACAGTAACACTCAATCAACTGAAATCGAATTGTGATGAGTCATTGTGATCCACATTCTACTATTTGAGAACGTTTTGGCAAAATAGCTATCAATCGAATACAGCAACGACCCCTTAGTTAACTCATTATTGATGCTGCTTGATCTCAAAAATTATAATTCATGACCATTGCTCCTACGTAGTGAATGAGATAGGACAGCAGTCTCACAGCGACATGGTCGCCATCTGACATTTATCACATTACCGATCCTACGGCAGCGCTCATACTTTCGCGACAACGAGCGTCGACGCGCTATGACGCACTGTAACAGGCGTCGACGCGCTACACTTGCAACAGCGCTCCAATCTTATAGACGAGAACGTGGCAGCAGAAGGGAATCGATCGGTCATAAATAAATCGATACTGGCCAAGCATAAACTCATTGTATGAATTTGTCTCATAAGTCCTTGACCTGATAATTGACCTTGAATTCCTGAAAGCCTGCGCTAAGCCATTGTACTCCGCCTGGTGAAACCACCGAAAGTACTCCACAGTAACCAGTGACAAAAACTTTTGTAAAGTGTTCCGGGTTTTCCTTGCACAATTTCTGTGGAGAGCTGCAGGACATTCAAAATTGATACTTCCAGTCAGTGCTGTAGTAGCATTGTTAGGAAAAAGTGCGAAAGATTTTGGTCATATGGTAGGTGTGCGTAGGTGCAGTCGCACAAAATGTCGCACACCGAAGAAAAGGCGCGAAAAGAAAAGGCTAACGAAAAAGACAGGCACTCAGCCAAGGCTGGCTATGTGAAAAGTAAATCCTTTTTCTCTCAGTTAGCCTATCTTCTCCCGCCAAAGGAAACCCACCAAGGCCACTCTCCTATTCACTGTTCAACTATGACTACTCCGGAAAAACTCTACTCAAACTTTGTGGTGAAATTTGCCCATGATGGCAATCCGATGACCTGATCATGATCATGACAATTGTTTTTGACGCTGGCACCATTTGGCGCCACCACATTTCTCACAGAAATCAGGGCAAACTTACATAGTGGGGTTATTCGGTACCCAGATCGCGAATATGACATTCATTTTTAGCCCTGGCGCCATCTGGCGCCGACAGGCTCCATTTTGGCGCCACATCCTTGTTAATCATTTAGAAACTGATGGAACTTCCACAATAGGTTCGCCTGATGCCCTGATCACGAAAATGGCATTCATTCCTCGACACCAGCGCAATTTAGCGCTCTCCTAAAGCTGACCTGTGAGAATCAGCGATTCCTCCCAAGCCAGGCTCAGTCTTTGCAGAACGCAGATGACCGCATTGTGTCCATCAGCGCCGTCACCAAGAATGATGTCATATTCGCAATCAGGATATCAAATAACCCCGTATACAAGTTTTCAGCGGACTTGGCGATCGTATTTTGGCGACGGCGCCAGGAACTTTCGCGCCGAGTGGAATGTAACTGTCCTTTACAAAGCTTCCAGTCCTAAATCTGAACCTTAGAAGAAAGTCGGTCAGAAAGTGGTCTGTCTTCGGAGGATTGGAGTAGTAATAATAGTTGACTAGTCCTTCTCTTCTTGTTACCCTTTTCTCGGCGTGTGTTATCCGGACCACGGGGTTGCACTACTTCAGAGGGGGTCTCTTACCTTTGTCGAGGCTTGCTTTCATTGCTTGTAAATCCTGTTGCATTTCTGCCGAAAAGGACATACCTGTGTAGCGCCTGTTTGGCCCGCTAACATCTTAAGTAGTTAATCCAGGAGCCAATGCTTCGAATCGTGGGTTTCTGTCCCCTTTTGAGTGCAACTTTGTGAGGATTGTATTTCGTTCATTATTGTTTCCTTTGCGTCAAAGTTTTATGAAAATTGTGTTCAACTAGTGCTTGAGTTACTCTTCACGAGTGATCAGAGAACGTCTTATCTCTCAATATAACGTAACTGCATACGCATTGCAATTTCAGACCCAATCACCGTATCTTGTTACCACTGTTAGCACTTTGTTATCAATAAATTCAGCTCGCTATCGTTGCATTGAATGGATATAAGCATCCTCACAGATTATCTCAGAACACCTGATAGGTGGTCGACAGCCCATTACACCCAAAATGATATATGAATGCATGGGTCATCCAACAGACCCGCAGGTGTTGTTTGACATTGATTGAGCCGCTACGGGCTTACGGGAGATCTTGCGCATTCAAGGAGAGCCACCTAGTTCTGTTAGAACAAAAACCTACCATCACTCCACATGGCGTACACATGCTCAGCTTCTCGCACTGGATCATTGTTGAGTTTCTCTAATAGAGCCGAGTAGTTTTCCTGTTTGCAATTACCCGATGTGTAGCCACACAACAGCTGAAACAATCAATAAATTAGTTGATCCTTCTCAGGGATGGCTGGCTAGTCTGCTCGTAAAGCATCTCTGAGTCAAAGCGAGTGCTTCTGAAGAATTGTTCAAAAACTTTGCAACAAAGGTCTCACCTGGTCCTGACAAGTGTACCCTGGATATAGACCATCGACAGCATTACACCAGGCTGGCACCGTCTGCGCTAGCTGGCATACACATAGGCCTTAAAAGAAGGTATTCCTCAAAGCTAAGCGAAGATTACGAAGGATGAATTGTTCTCCATTAGAAAGGGCAACGTGGCTCAGCGACGAGATGCTTCAACTTACACTCCATACAGGGCACGCCATTGCGTTGTGATCATTTCCTGAAAAATACGACCCCCCTAATTCCATCTTCAAGTACGACCCCCCTCCCCATGTTACCTCTTCCCTAGATTTTTCCAACCTCCTACCACTTTGTCTATTTTTCCCAAAAATTTCTGGTTTTTTTTACAAAATTTTGCTGTCGAGCGGGGGGAGGTCGCAGTACCTACGTACGTCCCAAGCACGTCCAGCACTCTGGCGCTGGTGTAGCATACTGACAATACGTACGAGGAAGGGGCGATGATAGGAGCTACGATCACCGCCCACAAGGGCATCATGAATTTATAAACAATGGAAAGGACTTACGACTGACGATGAATAAACAGACGAAAGTACATTCCCGGACTTTTCTGATTGCAGGAGCACATTTGCTTGCAATTGGGAAGCCCTATCTAGAAGTTACACCTTCCAAACACCTGCGTGAAAGCCCCATGCATGGCGCATTGCAGAGGTGATGCCAATTGGCGCCCAATGGCCTATTTCCTGATACCCTTTGCGAAAACATGTGTTTTAGAAGCATACCAAAGTCTTCAAGCCAACTGGAGGTTTCATGGCCTCGGAGGGGCTGATTTTTCGTGTCGTGGGGTGGTCACGAAATGATCACAACGGGAATTTTTTTGAATAGCAGGCCTAGGAAGAAATTAAAGCCTTGCTGAAAAGTAGAAATCTTCAAGCTCCGGCACAATTCTTTTTACGAAAGGCCGTGATATAAGCTTAGCTTATGGACGTCCAAAGCCGTCAAAAATTGATCACAGACGGCAATCACAACGCATGATCCAAGGGGGAATATCTCTGTATAGTTTTTGAAATCGCTCAATTCAGGTGTGACAAGCGCCAACCTGGTCTACTCTCCCACTTTACCCCTCTCCGATAGCTTTCACTTTCGAAGTTATGGGTGTTCAAATGAGGGGTACTTTTCACGTGTTTGGCTTGAAATTGGCTCCAGGCCGTAAAATAGCGCGCACCAATGAGCTTGTATGAGCGCGCTGACCGCGAACAGCCAAAATTCAAAAGTAATCCATAGTTCCGGTTCCCAGCTGGCCTGGTGAGTTTTTTTTTCTTATCCATTTTCATTGTGAATTATTTGATTGTTTGTTTTTGTTGAGTTTGATTTTGTTTTGTTGAGTTTGATTTTGTTGTGAGGAAATTGCTCAGGATTCAATTTCTACGGTTTCATAGGTAGCTTTTGCAATGGATTCTTTTCTAGATTTTGCGGATTAGTGGATTGGGATTTATCTAGACCAGATGAGGAGGGTTGGTGGGCGAGTGTCTTGAAGTTTTTTGTGAGGAAGGAGGAAAAAGTTTCAGCAATATTTTTTTTAGTTCTTGGCCTAGGAATAGTTCGATAGTGCCTAGTTCTATTTATTGTCATCTACATCGTCCCTTTTGAGCTTCTTTTCACTTGTACCGTGTATCACCGCTCTCTCCACTTCAACATGGGCCATGCGTTTACGACCCCCCCCTCCATCGCGGGCAAATACGACCCCCCCCCCCCGTTGTGATGATCAGCAAGCTGCACACATAATTCGAGGTGAATTTTGGTGGGGGAGTTTTCGTTTCAGGTCATTTGTAATAACGTCTTTGCTGGGCACAAGACAAAATAACAATGTTCTGAGTGGAAAAATTCTACAACACATCGTACGCTACGTACAAATGAAGCACGCCACCACGTCCCTTAAATCTATCCGATATGGAGTGTACGTCTTGCACCCTCTTCGGAACGGAAACTGAAAATACCCCTCAAATTGAATGGAGTATGAATGTGTTATGGACTAATGCATATGTATTTGAAGTGAGTTACATTGTTGTGATTAGTACATCAAAAGTTGCGACACAAAATCAAAAAAATGGTTATCTACATTAGTACCCATAGACAGCAGGGTAGTCAGCCTCTTCGGCGCTCGCAAAAGTTGTTTAAAAGCTGTCTCACCGTAATTTGGCCCGGCAATGCCGACAAAAGTGTCAACTTTGGCCGTTAGCGGAGGACCGAGAGTGCAGTTCCCATCAGTTCCGATGAGGGAACCTCCTTTCAGAGCTTTTCTGAAACAAGTAAAATAATATGCCAGAAGTGGTTTCATGGGTTCTTTCCGGTAGTTCACAGCTACAACCACTGCAAAATTGAATTCAAAACTACCTGGCCATAACGACACCAACCGAATGTGCGATGACGTCGATTTTCCTGGCGCCAGTGTACTGTATCACTGCCTCCATGAACCTTCAACTGAGCACCATTAAAAGGGCTCGTTTTGTTGGGCCAAAACTGCTCGATAGGCAAAGCATAGAAACCGTTTCTAATCTAGTACACTGCAGAGCTCTGATGAATACAGAGCTCTGCTGTAGGAAGTGGAAGTGCTGCCACCGGACAATGTTAAGTTATCCTAGAAGGTCGTGACATTTTTTTGATAATTTTTTGCATTTTTTTTTCTGTGTTTCAATCCAGTTTCGTAACCTCGTTGAACCAACCACACACGCACACGCTCACGACCAGTCTAGCTGCGGTTTCCATGAAAAAATGGCAGATGAGAAACTGCATATTCATCATGATTTGCTATATGAGTTTAATCTGGGCCAGAATATAGCCCAAGCCACTTAGAACATTTGTTTTGCATTTAGGTCCTGGGGCCATATGCTATGATTTCCCCAAAGGAGACGGCATTCCCCAGAAAACCTCCGCTCTATGCTGCTATCGATGATGTGACGGCCCCTGATGTGGTCGCTCATAGTAAGGTGTCGGAACGGTCCGATCGTCTTCGCCCAGGTGACTTGTGGTTAGACTTGCAAGACAAACCACGATAGGGAGGCCATTGTGTTGGATTTGGACGGTTGATATCTCTTGACTAAAGGCAATCTGTAATCTTGTCTTGCTGAAGAACTTGGCTCTTCCAGGGGAGCATGGCTGATAGAGGTCTCCACTCCCTCGGAAAAATGTGAAGCTCGGTCAGTGCGTTACTCATAAGTTAACCTAGTTAACGATTTAGAGGAGTGAATGCATGGAGTTTGCCTACAATTTCTCTCCCGCTCCTGTCGTACAGACTGGTTGAACAACGTCTCTGCGTGAACCTGGCCGGAATGACCAGGGAAAAGATCCATCAGAAGGGGCAGAACTGGTCGTGAAATCCGACCAATCCGTGAACTTTACTATAATCATTCCGCAAGTAAACAAAGTATGCCTGCTTCACTGGCACGGAAGCGCATGCTTCCGAGATGCAGAGCTTGAGATCTTGGAAGTTTGGCTGCGAAACTTCACCACATCAAGATTCGTATAGGCCCCCTTCTAAATACCATGGCTCTTCCTTCCCCTCTGGGCAAGCAAACTCGGATCCTCAGAAGCAACCTCCGCAAACAACCCAACTCTTCTTTCAACCAAATTAGGAAACCTTCTGGAAACGAGGTATATACAATATGGCCCTTAACAACAATCAGATGAAGATTGTGCACATATCGTTGATTGATACTATTTGTTGATTAAATAAATTTGACTCAAAAAAAAGTTTGAAAATGTCACAAACTTGTAGTACCTCCCAATAGAAAACGGCCCAGAAAGAAACCTTCCGTCCCCTCTAACGTAAAACTGCAGCATTTTTTTTTTAAAAGACCCTCAAAGGCTATTAAATGGTGATCGTGACGGCAAACAACCTTCGAAGGAATAGCAGATTGCTGCAGGTGTGCATGGTGCTGTAGCTGTCCAGTACCGAGCCGGTACCCCAGGCATCTCCCCAAGTGGTTGCGTAGAGTTCACCTTCTGTATAGTTCTGCTCCAAAAAGTATTGAATAGATCTGAAATTCATGTCATAACGCCTGAGATAAAGCAGAGAAAAAAAAAAAGGTTGCTACACTCGTCACCGTGCTCCCATCCAGTCGGGGCGCCTGAGTATGCAATGCAGCGTCACCGTTACCATGAATGAAAACCACAGGCTCATTCCTTATCTGTAATAAGGAAAGCAACTTTTGAATTGTTGTTTATTGTATTCCTTCAAACTAGTTCGATTAATGCTAGCCGAATGTTGTAATGTTAGCTATGCTTAATGTTAGCTAGCCTTAACGCCAAGACTTGCTTACGCGTTCGATTGCACGCTTTTTCCCACCAAAACTTCCATTCGGACCGACATCGGGCCCCCCCTCCAGCCTCGATCGAATTGTCGCTTTCATAGCTGAAATGAAATCCATCATTGAAAGGAATCAGACGAAAGACGACCAACTTTCACTTCTTCTCTAGTGCTTGCGTTTCGCCAGAGGATACAAAGTTCATTTCATAGAACCTTCGACAATGACTTCCATTTTCGGGAACTGTATATTCATGCTCATGGCAATCGCGATTTCGCAAAAAAAGCAAAAAACGGACCGGACAGCAGCGATATGCAGAATCTTACTCTTGTCAGTATGTTAAAGGCATAAAGCACGACTATGTGGTACTCAATCTTAAATGATGGTAGGGATGCTATATGGTGGGAAAGTGGCGAAAAAAAGAAGTGGAACGATCAAAAACCTTCAAAGAAGCCTTTCTTCTACACGCTTCCAGACAAGCCTTTGTTCTACAGGATTCCAGACAAGCCTTTGTTCCACAGGTACACGACTAGGCGATTTCGGACGAGTTAACCGTGGGTATCGTGCCAATAACAGTTACGGTAGAGGTAGTAGGCTGGCTTGTGAGATTGCTCGTCAAAATGGCTATTCAACCCAACGACGAGTATCGAACTCACGTAGACAGTCTGGCGATAACAACAGACTTCTTCTCCAAATCCCTTTCATCTCGGACAAAGTCAGTGCTGCAATAAAACGATGCCTTGTTCGAACTGGTTTGGCAAATGATGTCGTTTTGGTCAATATCCCAAGGTCTAACATCAAACGCCAGTTAGTTCGCAACAGGCTATACGACCGCTCCTGTAACACGGAGAGCTGCATTGTTTGTCCGTATGGAAGAGGAGGGGATTGTGAACTCCGT